TATATATTCTATAGGGTCTCACTACATAGATCTGACTCGTAGTGATTCTCCTGTTTTCAGCCTCCCAAGTACTGGGATTACAGATGTTCACCACCACGCCCACTCTCAATTGCTGTCTCAGTGCGCCCCACAGTGGGGCCAGCACGCTGGACATCAAACCCTAGCCAATGTGCTCATCCTAAGCAGGCATTTTAGTCTGCTGAGCTATCTGGTCAGACTTATATTATTATAATTAATAGCTTTTAAAATTGAGAATTATTAGATCCAACCACCACAAACTTGCACCTTTGTAAGGACACTTTCTTAATTGACCATGTATTTCCTGAGGTCAAAGTTGAAAGTCCAAAGTAGTGAGACAAGAAGCTTAAAAAGCAGAAGAATATTACCCATTAGTGAAAATGGAAAATTAGGTCATCCAATAAGAGCTATTCAAAATGTAACAAAGTTTTTTTTTTTAATCAGTGAGTGTGTTCATTAAAATTAGATTCACAGTGCTTAACATCAGTGACTCCAGCGGGTGAGAGAATATTCACAGAAATGATGGATAGAAAACTCAAAATAACCATTTCTCTTCTAAAATTTCCAAAAGGAATGTAGCATTCCCTGATAACCTTTGATTTTAGCTCAGTGAAACTAATTCTGGAATTTTGGATTCCAGAACTGTACAGGACTTATTTATATTGTATTAAGCCAGTAATAGTAGCTTGTTACAGCAGCAGTAGGAAAACTAATATAACCAACATTTTATATTTAAGAATGGATTTTAATTCTGATAGACATGGGCTTAAGAATAGATCTGTCACCTGTTACGAAGTTACCTTGGAAGTCTGAGTTTCTTTTTAATATGTAAGAGATCATAGTGCCTACTTAAGAAAGTTATCTAAGACTGAAGGAGATGATAACTATAAAATGCTTGCTGCTTTAGCATCCACTTTTCTCATTTCATCACTGCACACTATTGCTGCCACAGACTGAGCAGCCTCAAGCCACCCTGGCGCATTATTTCAATTTCTGTAGGTGAGGAGCTGAGTGTGGTCCCATGGCTCCTCTGCATCATAATCTGTGGGTGAGGAGCTGGGTGTAGTACCATGGCTCCTCTGCATCATAATCTGTAGGTGAGGAACTGGATGTAGTCCCATGGCTCCTCTGCATCATAATCTGACAGCTGCAATGAAGACAGATCTGAAGTCTCACCTGGGCTAGGTTGGGAGTAAATATCCAAACTCACCATAGCCCTTGGTAGCAATGAGTGGTTTGCAGATTGTTGAATTTGAGTTTCTGGTTGCTGTCACCTGGTAGGAGCCTTCTGCCCCTTGTCAAGTAGCTTTCTCCATTTGGAAGCTCAAAATGTGGCCACTTGCTTCTTCAAAACTAGTGGAAAGAGAAAGTGTTTTAGCACAAAGACCAAACTTATGTTGCCTAGTCATATATACATAATCATGAATTCTTCATGTTGATTGTATACTAGGACTGAAAGCAAGCCGAAGTCCCTCACATGGAGGGGGATGTTTGGGTATTTTTTTTGTTGTTGTTGTTGTTTTGGCGGGACCGGGGATTGAAGGCCCTTGTGCTTGCCAGGGAAGCGCTTATTCTCCTGAGCCATCTCCCCAGCCCCAGGAGGGGGATCTTATACAAGGAAGTGAATTCTGGGAGGAGGAACTCACAGAGATGCTCCGAGATTCCATATAATGTACTCTATGTTGCTTGATATCATGATCTACTTAAATCTTTAATTTTGCAATTGTATGTCTAAACATGCTGTTATTTTTCCATAAGGAAGAAGAAATAGATGCCCTCCTCCACCTTTACCTCTAAACTCCAAAATTCAAGCATATTCAACAAGTTATCGTCACGGTGAAGTAGTTCATATAGAATGTGAGCTTAATTTTGTGATTCAGGGCTCAGAAGAAATACGTTGTGAAAATGGAAAATGGACAGAACCTCCAAAATGCATTGGTTGGTAACATCTTGAATAAACTTTACGTGAGTTAAAATCTGCATATGTAGCCAAGTGGTCTCTTCTTAAGTTTTACTTTTTCAGAGGAAAAGGAGAAGGTTGCCTGTGAGGAACCTCCTGTCATTGTGAATGGTACAGCAAACGTGCGCTCTGGGACTTATTATAATGGGGACAAAGTGATGTACAGATGTGAAAGGGGCTACCGTCTCCGTGGATCAAATGAGATAACTTGTACTCATGGAAAATGGACACTTCCCCCCGAGTGTGTTGGTATGTGCACTACAGTTAACATCAATAAATAGCTAATCCTATGGGGCAAACATTTTTATATGGTTTATTTTATCTACATATCCATAGAGGCCACTACTTACAAGAGTTAAAAAGACTTTGATACCTACCTTACCTGCTCTGCTACTTGTTTGGGCATATGGACTTATCTGTAGGATTCAAGTGAATAGCAATAATTAAGAAGGTAAAGATAGTATTTTCAATACATTTGTGAAAGGCACTGTTACTTGACATGCATAAGCACCCTGGCCAATGAGTTCTATTGACTGTGCATTAATAAGGGCTGTTTTTTATGAGAGAAGCAAATAAAAGGCAGGTCGAAGTGAATGGCTGGTCATGGGCATGGTCCACTTCCTCTCACTGGACTTCCACCATACTTAGTCCACAGCACTACCATCCTACTGATGGCACTTGTGCATCTCGACATTCTGAACTTGAGCACCTCTGAAATACTTCTTCTGTTTTGTTGAAGAGTACCACCAGGCTACACTGTCAGTCCTGAGTGGTACCTTCCTGCCCTCCTCGCTTTTTATGACATGTTGAAGAGAGTTCCACAAACATGTTTACCCCAGATATTAATTCTGCATGACAAAAGCTATGAAGTGTGCCAAGTAAATTAGCAGAAGATGAGAAAGCTTCTAGAGAAAAATATTGATATTTTTTTATCAATAGTTAAAGGAAAACTGAAGAAAAGAAATGGGCAATGCCAGAGGAAGAAAAGTGGATAACGCCCAAGGGAGGTTTTAGAATTGTTCATAATCTTTAAGTTAAAAAACATAATTTCCTTTCTGTGCATTCTAAGAATGTCTTTATAATAATTCCTTCACAATCAAGAGCAGATAAAAATATATGTACTTGTTCTTGCTGTGCATTCTTTTGTTTTTTTCTTTGAGACATGGTCTCACTGTGTAACACAGGTTGGGCCTGGGATCATGCTGATACTCCTGAGTGCTGGGATTACAGGTGTCCACCACCACACCTGACTTACTTATATTCTTGTTTAGTAACTTTTTGAAAATATCTGAGCTAAACATTTATTTCTGATGAATTTAGAATAGAAATTAATTGCCTAAATTATATAGTATAAATATTAAGCTACCATAGTTTGGGTTACTGTTATATTGTTATGTCATTATAGGTTCATATTAATTTGAAAATAACCTTTTTTCTTAGAAAATAATGAGAATTGTAAGCCTCCACCTGAAATAGCAAATGGGGCTATTACTGATGGGTTATTGTCAAGTTATACAACAGGGTCTTCAGTGGAGTATAAATGCAATGAATACTATTTACTGGAAGGATCAAAAATATCTCGGTGTGAACAAGGAAAATGGTCATCTCCACCTGTTTGCTTGGGTAAGAAAGAACACACTGAATTTATTTTGCTATTATGCTTGTGTTTGTATGTGATTTTCTATAGTATATAGAAAATAATTTTTCCTGAAATATTTCACCTCTCATTTATTTAAATACAAAATCTCTAGTATCTTAATCCCTGGGGCTATCACAATTCTCTTATTTAAAGGAGCAACTATCCTTCCTCAAGTGTTTTCAGTAGTCCTCCTCTCCACTACTCTTCCTAACTTTATTTTCCATATGCTATAGTTTAAAAATATGCACAAATTATAAAATTCATAGCTTTATTTTATTTATTATTTATTTTAGAGTTTCAGTTAAAGGGTTAGCTCTATACGGTCACAGATCTTTGATATCTATTGATGCATACTGAGTAGACAGTTGTCTATAATATTTGTATGTTCAATAGTCTTCCACTTCAAATTTGTTATTTTTTCCAAGAGTATATCAAGGTTAACCTAACAGGTTGATGGATGTAAACATTATTTTTAATGCTTCAAGTTATTTTATTTTAATCTATGATATGATGGAATAGTAAGAAATGTATGCATTCATCCATTTGACCCTAATAAAGTATTATTCTACTATCTATATGTATGGTGAGCTTTCATAATGATGTCAAATATAAAATATTTTTGATGCTTATAATTTTTATTTTAAAGATGCCACTTTTGTATTTGTCATATGAGTAAAGAATTTAGGAAAACATTTTGTTTTCAGAGCCATGCACTGTTGATGTGGATTATATGAACAGAAATAACATAGAGATGAAATGGAAATACGAAGGAAAGGTCTTGCATGGAGATTTAATTGATTTTGTCTGTAAACAAGGATATGACTCGTCTCTGTCAACTTCACTGTCGGGGTTATCTGTGCAGTGCAACAGAGGAGAAGTGCGATACCCTTTGTGTGCTAGAAAAGGTAAGGTGGCAAGGCTTTCTAGCAATTCTTTATTAATAGATATTAACCTTCTTGTTTGAAAATTTGTGTATTTGACCCTAAGCAGTTTTTCATCTTTTTCCCTCCTGTATATAAATTGGGAATTATCCAACTTCCAGCATGAAATTTTACTTAAATGGGAAGATGAGATTAATATATTTTAATTCCCAAAAGTCAGTTTTAGGAAGGAAAAAAGGCAAGAGGTTTTATAAATATCTCCAGGATTATTCTCATGTCAAGACTCAACAACACTGTAAAACATCACTACTCAGAAAGTGGCTTGATGCAGTGTAAGAAACCTTGTGTACTCCTTGGTTACAGAGAGTATTACCTTTAATTCTCTCTCTCTCTCTCTCTCTCTCTCTCTCTCTCTCTGTCTTTGTTATTTTGATACAAGATTTTGCTATGTAGTTCAGGCTGTCCTTAAACTATTACTTTTAACTTAAGAAAAAGAACACAATACATACAGAATGTAAGGATCAAGAGAGATCTTATGTACTGTTGACTAGATTGAAAGAGAATGAGTAAGCAGTGATAGTATTTGATAGTTGTAAATATGTGCTTAAATCTTATAACATGGAGTTCTAATTATAATAATAATATATTGTATAATATGACATTATTACAGAAATGTTTTCAATATATAAAATATTTGAGAACCATTGTAAATGCCTTTAATACAGTGAACTATCTAATTTTTATTTCTATAGAATTATTAAAAGACTATACATTCATTTTAGATTTTAAAATCACTTTTGCAGAATCTAAAGGAAAGTGTGTGTTGCCTCCTCTTATAAGAAATGGAGTCATTATCAGTTCAAAAGTAGACACCTACGAGAATGGTTCCTCTGTGGAATACAGTTGTTTTGAGCACCATTTTCTACAAGGATCTAAGGAGATCTATTGTATAGAGGGAGTGTGGACTACGCCACCAGTGTGCTTAGGTATGTATGACATTACTAAATATGCTTCCATGTAATGAAATAAAATGTCATTGGAATCCATATGGCATTTACATCATGTTTAATTTGCTTTTCCTGTTATTTTATTAGTATTTCTATTTAATCACTGGCTTCTATTCTTTCCTGTAGACTCTGAATACTCCAGTAAGTACTTGTTAAGTGCAAACCACGCATCAAGGACTAGTGTGATGTTTAGGCAATTAGATGTGTAAGTGGGAGTAGGGGGCACAGCATGTTAGCAATCATCACTCAGTATGAGTGATACTAAAGTAGAAAACAGGAGTACCCAGAGGGACAAAAAAATGGCCTGCATAAAAGGAAAAGATGAAGAAATTCAGTGCCTTCTTGGCAAGGGAGCCTACTAAAAATCACACTTGCCAATATTCTCAGAAAGCAAAGAACATGCCTGCAGATAATAAGAAAATGTTCCTTTATTTCCAATTGTTTTATTTCAATAATACATCTTTATGTTTGATATTATGAGTATTTAAAAATTAGGTTAAAGATAAAAATTCTATTTATAGGGTGCAGAAAGTATTTCTAAACAATGTTCGGTGGGTATTTAATTTTAAGCATAGCTGTTAGAATAATCAGATAAAAATACTCTTTTTCTGTACATTAAACAAATTCTGATGCCTATTTTTGAATGTCAAAGCATTACTATATTCTGAAGAAATCCTCCTTGTGGTGAATTAGGCTCATTGTATGTTGGCAGCTTTTATTGGCTAATAATCTACTCAAGAGTTTTTTTTTTTTTTTTTTTTTTTTTTTTTTTTTTTTTTTTTTTTTTTTTTGGCGGAACCGGGGATTGAACTCAGGCCCTCGTGCTTGCCAGGGAAGCGCTTATTCCACTGAGCCATCTCCCGGCCCCAACGAGGCTAGAATTTGGGAAGCAAACATGTATTCAGCCTGTTAAATTGCCTCTTTTTTTTCTTTTGCGGAACCGGGGACTAGAACTCAGGCCCTTGCGCTTGCCAAGGAAGCGCTTATTCTACTGAGCCATCTCCCCAGCCCCAAATTGCCTTATTTTTGAGGAATACACAAAACTAAGAACCCCATGGCCCACTGGATCACAACCCTGCACTCAAGCTAACCCTCCCCTTCCTTCCCCTCCCCCCTCCCCTCCGCGACCGCTTCCGACCCGCCCCTAGCCGCGTTCTTCCGCTCCCTCCCCTCCCCATCCGCCCATCCGCTTCCCGAAGGTTCTTCGGCGCCTTGGCGCGCTCCTTAAGTGATTGGTTGCTGCGCGTGTCATTCCATTGTTCTGAGCCCTCCATTGGCTGATTTCCCTAAGAGAGCGTCCCGCCCCCGAGGCGCTTTAGAGCTACAGCTGCGCGCGAGGAGCTTGCTGGTGTTGTCACAGACGGTTGTCCTCTGGGAGCTTCTGTGATGGCGGCTGCTGCGGACCGGGCTGTTGTGACCGTAGTGACTGATTCGGATGCCGACAGCAACGGCGAGTTGCGTGAAGTCCAAAGAGTTGGAGCAGTGGGCGAAGAGAAGGGCCATTCCACCAAAGCAGCAGAGGCCTTGGGGGATAGCGAGGAAGATGGGGAGGACGTATTCGAGGTGGAGCGGATCCTCGACATGAAGACCGACGCGG